CCCATTGCTTATTCTGGGGGCTGCTGATGGTGGTGGCCGGACCATACAGGCAAAGCTGCTCTTTCACTCTCTCCGCCTCTGTGGTTCCAGCCAGCACTCAGCAGCTCCTTCCTCTTTTTTTGACTCTTGAACCGGCTCCACGGCTCAGACTGAATCTTCGACTTGCCGGGCTTGAGCGTCTGCCTGGAGCCATGATCTGTGCCGAATCTCTTCAGAGAGACGGGAGGACGGGTCCACGGTAGGAGGCTTGCCACAGAGGGGCCGGGGGAGATGTAGTGAGGACAGAGAAGGGGGCACTGTGATAATGATAGCGGGGACCGGTCGCTCTGGACTAGAAGTGAGTGCTGAGAAGGAGGGAAAGTGATACTGATATGCACGAGGCCCTTTCCGGGACAGTATTGAAAACCATAATGCATGAAAGGAGAGAGGAAGGGAGGGCAGGAGAGAGGGAGAGACAGAGACAGACAGAGACAGACAGAGAGACAGAGTCAGAGACAGAGATGGAGAGAGAAAGTACCTACCATAAAGGAAGGCTGGGGGTTGAGGAAAACTGGGGTCATTGGTGGTGGAAAATGTGCACGGATGAAGGGATGCGTGTTGGAACGTTGTGTGACTGAAACTTAATCATGAACAGCTTTGTAACTATCTCACGGTTATTCGATTAAAAAAAATCTTTTTTAAAAGAGACAATGGAGGGGCTGGAGTGATAGCACAGCGGGGAGGGCTTTTGCTTTGCACGTGGCCGACCCGGGTTCGATTTCCAGCATCCCATAGGGTCCCCTGAGCACTGCCAGGAGTAATTCCTGAATGCAGAGCCAGGAGGAACCCCTGAGCATTGCCGGGTGTGACCCCAAAAAAGCGAAAGCGGAAAAAAAATAAAAATAAAAAACAGACAATGGAGGGACAGAGTGATAGTACAGCTGGTAGGGCTTTTGCCTTGCACACAGCTGAGTGGGGTGGAGTGGGGTGGGGTGGGCCTGGCCTGGGTTGGATTCCCAGCATCCCATAGAGTCCCCCAAGGCCACCAGGAGTAATTCCTGAGTGCAGAGCCAGGAGTAACCCCTGAGCATCAGCAGATGTGACCCAACCACCCCCCCTACCAAAAAAACAAAAACAAACAAACCAAAAAAACAGTGATGAGTGGGCGGGTGAGAGAGTGGGGGGGTGGGGTAAAGGACCTCACAGGCCACTGACCCAGGTTCCATCCCCCACACCAGGAGTGATCCCGGTGTAAGTGATCAGGATAAGCTCTGAGCACAACTGGGTGTGGTCCCCAAACAAACCAAACAAACAAACAGATAAGGAGCGCACAGAAGAAATTGGTCCCAGCCCACCGAAACCTCCCTGGAATCTGTCTTAGCCTGGAAGAGGGGCAAGTACCAGAAAAAAAAAAAAGATGGGTAGTGCGGGAGAAGTTTGAGTCTCTGAAACACTTCCTCAGGGGAAAGGTGTGTCCAGGAGGGCGAATTCTGGGACAGAGGTGCCTTTTCCTGTAAATGCCTCCGAGGAGCAGGCCAGAGAGCAGGAGGGCAGCTGGACCGCCAACAGGTACGTGCCTTTCCCGGGGAACAGGTGCTGCTTCTCTTGTCTTTGTTTCTTAAAACCAAGTAAGGTAATTTTATTTCTTGTTTTCTTTTTTCTTTGTTTGTTTGTTTTTGCTTTTTTTTTTTCTTTATGGGTTACACCCCGCGATACTCAGGACTTACTCCCAGCTTTGCACTCAGAAATTAACTCCTGGCGGTGCTCGGTGCTCGGGGGACCCTCTGGGATGCTGGGGATTGAATCCCAGTTGAGCGCATGCAAGTCAAATGCCCCTCCCCGCTTTGGCCCTGCAAGGTAGTTTTTTGGAGGTTTTTTTTTTTTTTAAGTTTTTGGATTTTTTAAAAAATAATTATTTATTTATTTATTTATTTATTTATTTTGGGGGGGACACCTGGCTTTTGCTCAGAAAATCACTCCCGGCAGGCTCAGGGGGTTATAGAGGGTGCTAGAAATCGACCCTGGCCGGGTTGGCCGCATGCAAGGCAGGCACCTTACCTGCTGGGCTATCCGCCGCCTCAAGGGAGTTTTGATTGAAAGAAACTTGGCCCAGGGAGAGGAGAGGAAGAGCAAACGCATGTTCCGGAGCAAACACGGGCTTCTCCAGAGTGGACACAGGCTAGCCCAGAGACAAGCAGGAGAGACGCGTGTTCACGCGAGAATATAGCATTGGAGGGGCGTGGCTGCTCTGTCTCACGAGGCTGCACTGAGAAGTCATTTAGTTGTATTTTTTTCCTTTTAATCGAGCTGGAGCAATAGTACAGTGGGTAGGGCCCTTGCTTTGCATGAGGCCGGTCCCCTGAGCACCTCCAGGAGTGATCCCTGTGTGCAGAGCCAGGAGTCAGCCCTGAGCATCGCCCAGGGTGCACCCCGACTTTTTTTTTTAATTTTAATTTTCCTGGGTTATTTTGGACTGCACCGAGCTAGCAGTGCTCTGGGGGAACCCGGCCTGCGGGGGATTGGACCCAGGCCTCCTGCATGCAATGCACTGGGGCCTTTTGGAGCTCTGGGTCCCTCCAGCTGCCGATCGAAGCTTGACTGACACATCACGACAGAGCAGACTGGAGGGGAGACGCGATGCCTTTGTCAGCAGCCCCATGTCCTCCTGGAAGCCATGTGATGGCAGGGTGGGGAAATGGGGGTCCGGGCAGCTATAGCCTGTCCACCCCGGGTGGAAAGGGCAGGTCACTTCCAGGAGCGGAGCTGGGCGCCGGCGTCTGAGATGGCCTCGCATCAACCTTGTGGTCAGCCGTAAGGAGGGTCCTTCTGACTGCGCAGGCGCAGGGGTCTGGGCCGCGGTTGGGCGAGAGGCGCGGTCAGGAGCCAGTTCCTGCAAAGCCCGGGGTCCTCCCTGGCGGCGGGATCAGGATACAGAGCGTGTGATCGGCTCCCGAGTAACAGGGCGCAGAGCTGAGACTTGGGGCTCTTGGGGAGGAGGGGGAAACTCCCTTAGTTAGGCTTTCGGGGGTGTCCTCCAGGGTCTGAAAGGGAAGGGTAGCAGCAAGTACCCCAGGAAGGGAACTGGAGCCTGGCAGGGTTTCGGGGGTGTCTGGGAATGGGTGTTTGGGGGTGTCAGGCGGGGTGGACCGCTGGAGTCCCTCCTTCCTCTGAGGGCGACGCATTGAACATTTGCAGGTCCTGTAGTTGCCCTTCTCTGTCTACACTCCTCAAATCTCCTTTTGTCTCTATTTTTGGTTTTGGGGCCACACCCAGCGGTGCCAAGGGCTGACTCCTGGCTCTGCATTCAGGCATCACTCCTAGCAGGGCTCGGGGGACCCTTTGGGATGCTGGGGATGGAACGGCCGCGTGCAAGGCAAACGCCCTCCCCGCTGTCCTGTCTCTTGGGCCCAGCACCCCTGGGCTCCTTCCACGTCTGGCTAGCTTGGGGGCTCCAGGGAGGATTGGGGGGGGCAGGGTGGGGGTTTCGCGGGAAACCTTTCCTTTCGGGAGAGGAGGGCGCCCTGCGTCTGGGGACGCTTCAGAACATGTCCCGCCCCTTGGGCTGGGGTGAGGGCTGGAGGCGGCCAATTTATGGCCATCGGGATGAAGAACGGAGCTGGAGCAGGCACAGGGCCCGTGTGTCTCCCGGCGTGCCCACGTGTGCTGGCATTTGGGGGCGCTTCTAGGGACTGGAGGATCAGTCCTCCTTTGGTATCGGAGGTGGACAGGCCAGGGGGTGGCCCTGGGCAGGCGGGTAACAGAGGGGTCTGTGTTCCAGATTGCTCTCCGGCTGGGGCTTCTCCTGCCTATGGCCCCAAGTTCCTGGGCATGGCTGGCATCCAGCCCCCGGCCTCCGGTACCCATAGGCCTTTGCGGCTGTCCAGCTGTTGGTCCATCACCTGAGGCTGGGAAGGCTCCTTCTCCCCTCCCGGCTCCTCCTCCTTTCACCTGATGAAGGCCAATAGGCCCGAGAGCCGGGGAGGCTGGAACCAGGCATGGAGGCCCCCCCCCAGCCCCTGACTGGGAGCCTGAGGGGGGCTGCTGGTGTGTGGGTAGGTTGGGGGTGGGGTGGAGGGGCTGGGGGCTTAATGATTAAGAACAGGACCCAGACATTCCCCTAAACTCCCCCCAACCCCCCACCTCCTGCTGCAGCTGATTCTCTGACAGTGTGCCCGCATCGCAGCTTCCTGATGCGTGAACGAGCTGACTCTGCAACCCCCCACTTCCCCCACCACCACCCCGGGGCTGGGACCCTCCATGCTGACTTGGGTTTCATTTCCTGCCATGCCACTCCCGCCCCCTCACCTCCTGCCAGCAGGTGTAGGGCCCCGAGGAGGAGGAAGGGTACCGTGGTGGGGAGCGCTTTCCCGAAACACCCCTGACATCACTCCCGGGGAGCTGGTGTGAATCACGGGACTGTGGGTGGCACCGCTGGCATCCCCCGCTCTCCCCCGGGGCCCCGTGGTGCCGTCGGCTCTGAGTCACGGGTCCCTAGGAGTGCACGAACCAGTGGAGGAGGGGAGGTGAGAGCGGGTTCAGTTCTCGCTCTAAGCCAACTTGGCAAGTGCCAGGGTCTAGAGCACCCAGGAGGAGACAGGAGGTGGCCACCAGGATGCCCCCTATCTCCTCCCCTAATCTAGCCCAAGGCCAGCTGATGGCCAGGGCTGTGTTCTCTGTGTTCTCTGCCCCGCCCCCCCCCCCCCCCTTCTTCCACACACTCATCTCCAGGACCTGCATGCAGTCCAGGGGCCGAACAGCAGGGGGCAGTGTTCCTGGTTCCTGTCTCCAGGGAAGGTACCCCCCTACCCAGTTCCAGTAGGCAGGCACCCGCAACCCACATGCCCCCTTTCCTCCCGCCCCCTGAGAAGCAGCCACGTGACTGGTCGCGCTCAGCAGAAAGGAGAAGTCACCTCCGAAGTGGAAGATTCATTCCAAAGCCGGTTGTGTGTGTGTGAGTGTGTCGGTGGGGGCAGACACCCACCCAGCCACCCATCTCTCGCCTTCCTCCTGGCCCGGCCACCATGCACCCGTGGGCTGCCATCACCGGCCTCTTGGTCCTCGTGACAGGTATGTGGCTGGGAGCCGCGAGGGGCTTTGCAGGGAGGTGGGCAAGTGACAAATGAGGGCGAAGGAATTTTTTTTTTTTGGTGGGGTGAAGGGGGGTGTGTGTGCACACAAGTTGTGCTCACTTCTTACTCCTGGCTCTGTGCTCCGGAATTACTCCTGGTGGGTTTTGGGGGACCCTATGGGATGCCAAGGATTGAACCCTGGTCGGCCGTGTGCACGGCAGACGCCTTCCCCGCTGTAGTATTATTCCGGACCTACGGGGATGAATTTCTTGCTCTGATGAAGTTTGCTTCAAGGCTGTGGCTGAAAAAAATCTCTGGTTCGGGGTGGGGGGGGCATGTCTGCCGTGTTTAGTTGGGATCCTGATGCCACTTGCGTTTAATTGGGAAAAGGGGCTGATGTTCATGACCTCAGGGGGTGAAAAACTAGAAAGGGAGAAGGGACTGGGAGGGATGGGTGGAAAGTCGGGAACCTTATTCCTGGGACCCGTCTGTGATTTATTATCTCTTGGACCATGGGCAACGGTTAGCTTCCAAAGCAAAGTCGGTTTCATTTAGAAACTTTGTATCCATGGAGGGAGAACACTGAGGAATTGATATCATCCGGGATAGAAAAACAAATCAGTTTGTTCGCAGACTTGGGAGGGAGAAAAGGGAACACTGAGTGCAGAAGAGATAGAACCAGGGCTTGGGCGCTGGCCTTGCAGGTGGCTGGCCCGTTTGAGCTCCAACACTGCGTGAGAGTGATCCCCAAGCACTGTCAGCAGGAGTCCCTGAGCACTGTCAGATGTGGCATCAAACAGACAAAAAAAATAGTGGAAGGGTGTGTGTGGAAGATCCTTCTTGATTTAACTTTTCCCATTTTAAAAATGAGCTGTTTTCCTTTGTTAATTGAAACCTAAGCTGAGGTGTGGAAAGCCCAGGGCTCAGAGCGGACATTTGTGCCTTGCAGGCATGCCGCCCTGGGTTAAATCCCTGGTACTTTGAAATTAAAAAAAATTTTTTTCCCCTTGGGGCTTGAGTGATAACACAGGAGATAGGACACTTACCTTCCACACAGCTGGCCAGATTTCAATCCCTGACTCCCCTGGCTCCCTGAGCACAGAGCCAGGAGTAACCCCTAAGCATAGCCAGTGTGACCCCCCCCCATTATTTTTTCCATCAGGGAAAGTAATTTTTTTTTTTTTTTTGGTCTCACCTGGCATTGCACAGGGCTTACTCTTGGCTCTGCGGCTCTGCACTCAGGAAATACTCCTGGCAGTGCTCGGGAGACTATGGGATGCTGGGAATCGAACCCAGGTTGGCCACATGCAAGGCAAAGCCCTACCCATTGTGTTAATTGCTTTAGCCCAAGGGAAACTAATCTTAAGGGGCTAGAGAGAGGGTTCAGAGGTTAAGACCCTTGCCCAGCTATAGCTGGAACAATGAATGCTTTAAGTCTTGGCCCTACCTATCCCCCTGAGTACCACCAGGGGTCACTGCTGTGCACAGAGAATGGAGTAACCCCTGAGCACTGCCAGGTGTATCCCCGAACCTTGGGTTGGATCCCTGGAACTTGAAATTTAACAAAAAAAATTTTTTCCCTTGGGGCTGGAGTGATAACACAGCAGATAGGACACCTACCTTACAATCTCTATACTTTAAGATCAGGGAGATACAGTTCGGGTACAAGCCTTGCACATAGCCAACCTGGGTTAAATCCCTAACACCTCTATTAGGACCCCTTGGAGTCCCACCACGAGTGATTCCTGAGCACAGAGTCAGGAGTTGGCCCTGAGCAGCGCCGGCTGTGGCCCCCAAAACAAAACAATAAGAACAAAATAAAAGAGCCAAAGAGTCCCAGCCAGATCCTGTCTTCTTGGAGGTAACATGGGGCACTTCCCAAACTCACAGGCACCCGCATCCCCCCCGCCCTGTCAGGGAAGGGGTGAGCCTCAGAGCTTTGGGGGAGCTTCCTGATGGTGTTTGGTGAGACAGATGTACCCCCAGAGAGTGCTTCCTTCTTGGTGAAGTGGCACCAGTCGGCCAGTCGGCCAGTCAGCCCGTGGCTGCCTTGGCTTCCAGTTTCAGGTTCCTTGGGACAAGCAACTCAGGAACTTTTTTTTTTCCCCCTTGGGTGCAATACTCGGGCATGGGGGATGGGGGGGCAACTCCTGAGTCAGTGCTCAGTGTTCCACAGCGATGCTCAGGGGAACTGTGTAGTTCAGGGGAACCATGCAGTGGTTGGAATTCCAAAGTGATGAACGTTGAAGAAGGGGGTGCTGCTTAGATGGGGGGGGGGGGTGGCATCATTCAGAGCCCGTAATGAGCTCTCAAGCTCCTTAGCAACCTGGCTAACATGGGCTTAATCCCCATGATAATGACCTTCAGTCTGTTTTTTTTTCTTTTTGGGTCACATCCGGCAATGCTCAGGGGTTACTCCTGGCTCTGCACTCAGGAATTACTCCTGGTGGTGCTCGGGAGACCCTATGGGAAGCTGGGTCTCTGCGTGTGGTCCGCTGTGTGCAAGGCAAACGCCCTCCCAGCTGTGCTGTCGCTCCAGCCCTGCTTCAGCTTGTTTTCCCAGAGCTAGTTTCCAATTCTATGTTGGCTTCTGCCTTCCAGCCAACATTTTGTTGTTGTTGTTGATTATGGTTTTATTTATTTTTTTGGTTTGGTTCTGTGCTCAGGGATCCTAGTGCACTTGGGGGACACTATGGGGTGCCGGGGATTGAACTTGGGTCAGCTGCATGTGAAGCAAAGCGCCTTATCCTCTGGACTATTGCTCCAGCTCCAATAGTGGTTGGGTTTTTCTTTTTTTGGGGGGGGTGGTGGTTATTGTTTGTTTGAGCCCCCCGGTGGTGCTCAGGACTCACTCCTGTCTCTCTGTTCCTGGATAAACCTGGGTTGGCCTCATGTCTTCCCTACTGTCCTGGCCAACAAGTCTTGATGGCCTTATTTTTTTAATAATTATGCTTTTTTTGCTTTTCTGTCATACCCGGAGATGCACAGGGTCTGCTCCTGGCTCTGCACTCAGGCATTCCTCGTGGCGGTGCTTGGGGATCCTGTGGGATGCCTGGAATTGAACCTGGGTCAGCTGTGTGCAAAGCAAACGCTCTATCCTCTGTGCTATCGCTCCAGCCCCACAATGGCCTGATTTTATTTCAATTTGGATTTGGGGCTGTCCCCAGGGACCCTCACTCAGGGAAGCTCCCACAAGCTGGGCACTTGTCCCCAAGGGCCTGACCTCAGTTTCTATTCTGCTTGCAGATGCCACCATGGCTGCGATCGTGGTCTCGGGGGTGACGGGGCATCCCGTCACACTGCCCTGCACCTACTCCACGGCCGGCGGGTTGGTCACCACCACCATGTGCTGGGGCCGAGGGTCCTGCCCCTCCTCCCAGTGCTCAGACACCCTCATCTGGACCGACGGCTCCCGCGTGACCTCCCGGAAGTCGCCTCGCTACAAGCTGAAGGGCAGAATCCCCGAGGGGAACGTGTCTCTCACCATCGAGGACACCATCCTGACTGATAGTGGCCTCTACTGCTGCCGCATCGAGCACCGGGGCTGGTTCAATGACCAGAAAATCGTCTTCTCCCTGGAGTTAAGACCCCGTGAGTGAAGCTTCAGCCGGTCCACTCTGGGACCCTGCGGGATGCCGTGGATCAAACCTGGGTCGGCTGCATGTAGGGCACCTACCTCTCCACTGTCCTGTTGCCCCAGGCATTCCACTTTCGGTTCTGAAGAATTTCACAAATTCCCCACACCAGATGGTGAAATGTCCTCATGGGTCTTCGTGGAAGGATTTTTTTTTTTTTTGCCTCTTGGGTCACACCCGGCGATGCACAGGGATGACTCCTGGCCCTGCTCTCAGGAATTACTCCTGCAGTGCTCGGGGGACCTTATGGGATGCTGGGGATCGAACCCGGGTCGACCGCATGCAAGGCAAATGCTCTCCCCACTGTGCTATGACTCCAGCCCCGATTTCTTGGTTTTCCGATGCTTTTCCTATCTAATTTCTTCCATTCGGACCTTGTTGGCTATCAAAGTTAATACCCGGGGCCTTAATATGCTTTATCTCTGTTTGGGGAGAGACAAGCAATTCCTTTTTTTTCTTTTTGCTTTTTTTTAATTAAGAGGAACTTAATTTAGTTGCTGTTTCCCACCCATGGCCCTGGGGCTCATTTCCCTTATGGAGGGAGGGCTGAGATTATGTCCGCTCTAAGGTAGAAACTAGCTGACTTGCAGGATCTATATCTAGGAGACGATTTAGGGAAGCCCAGAGCAGCTGGGACCCCGAGTGTGCTCCAGACATCCCTGGAGGGTGGGGCTGGTGGGGGAGGGGTGGAAATGTCAGAATTCTGGACCTGGCTGTAACTGTTTTATTTTAATTAAAAAGTTTTTCTTGGGGCTGGAGCAATAGCACAGTGGGTAGGGCGTTTGCCTTGCATGCAGCCAACCCAGGTTCGATTCTCAGCATCCCATATGGTCCCCTGAGCACTGCCAGGGGTGATTCCTGAGTGCAGAGCGAGGAGTAACCCCTGTGCGTTGCCAGGTGTGACCCCAAAAAAGCAAAAAGGAAAAAAATTTTTTTCCGGCTTTTTGGGTCACAACAGCAATGCTCCGGGGGTTACTCCTGGCTCTGCAATCAGGAATCGCTCCTGGTGGGCTTAGGGGCCCCAGTGGAATGTGGGGGATCAAACCCAGGCTGACCGTGTGTAAGGCAAACTCCCTACCCATTGTGCTATGGCTCTGACCCTATTTAGCTGTTTTATTTTGGAGAGAAAGGGTCTGGGCTACACCTGACAGTGCTTTTTGCTGCTCGGGCCCCCCGGGGTCAATGCTGGCAAAGTTGGAGGGACCACGTGGTGATGGGGATGGAGCCAGGATGGGCCACATGAAAGGCTGGGCAGAGCCTTAGACCTCTGGACACTCTCCTTCCCAGTCTTGGCTGGGGTTTGAATTTTTTTTTTTTTTGCAGGGGTGGTGTTGGGAAGGGGCTCCTCCTTCCACACCTGGTCAGTGCTCAGGGCTGACTCCTGGCTCTGCACTTAGGGATCACTCCTGGCGGTGCTTGGGGGACCCTATGGAGTGCTGGGGATCGTACCCAGGCTGGTCGTGAGCAAATGCCCTCCCTGCTATGCTACGGGTCTGTCTTGAATCCTGCCCTTAGCCTCCAACCACTCGCAGACCAGGACCAGCAGATGGAACCCCAGCCAGGACAGATCGCAACTGTTTCGGTTTCCCAGATACCTGTCCTTTTGGGAAGTAGGTGGGCAGAGAGAGGCCATGGCCCTGAGGCAGTAAGTGAGGTTTGGGAAGTGGAACAGGCTCCCAGAGATGAGCTCGGAAAAGGAGTTACTGCCCACGGCCCAGCGCTCCCCCCCAAAGGCCTCTATGACAGGCATCTCTCCCTCTCTCTCTCTGTCTCTGTCTCTCTCTCTGTCTCTGTCTCGCTGTCTCTTTCTGTTTCTCTGTCTCTCTGTTTCTCTCTGTCTCTCTATCTCTGTCTCTCTATGTCTCTCTCTCTCTCTCTGTCTCTCTCCCTCCCTCCCCTTTTTGGGGCTTTGTGGTTTGCAATACAGATACTGAAACGTTATTATGTATATCCCTTTACCTCCCTTAACACTCTGTTCTCGCCCAGTGATCATTTCCAACTATCTCTCAGACTGTTTCTTTTGCTCCCATCTTCCCCTTTCATTTAGGTCATTAATCCTGGCAGTGCTCAGAGGGGACTCCTGTCCCGCCCCGGGGGTGCTCAGGGACCCTGTGGTGCTAGATAGGGAACCTGCAGTGTGCACCTTCCAGCCCTTCCCACCGCCTGACCCTCCCCCCCCCAACTCTCCCTTTCCATAAAATTTATTTCTTAGCTTTTCTCCCTGTCTCCTCCGGAAGTTCCTTCCTGCTAGATAAGCAGAACCGCAGAACCCTGACAAACACCGGGGTTTTTTTTTTTTTTTTTTTTTTTGCTTTTTGAGTCACACTTGGCAATGCTCAGGGGTTACTCCTGGCTCTGCACTCAGGAATCATTCCTGGTGGTGCTCAGGGGACCCTATGGAATGCTGGAAATTGAACCTGAGTTAGCCATGTGCAAGACAAACGCCCTACCTATCGTGCTATCACTCCAGCCTCTCCTTTTTTTGGGGGGGGGGGGGGTTGGCTGTATCCATTGTGGCTCAGGGCTCCGGGGACCCTATGGTATATCAGGGATCGAACCCGGGTCTGCTGCCTGTAAAGCAAGAGACTGTAAAGTAAGAGCTTTGGCCCCAGGATTTTTCATCAAATGCTACTTTGGCCAGACCGGGAGATTGGACTTGATTGTAATTCTAGCTTTTCTAGGGCCAGTCCTGAGATTATCCAGGGTGGTGGCCGTGGTTCTCTAAACACTGGGAAGACACACAATTAGTCCTTCTTATTCTCTCCCTCTTGCCCCTCTGTCTCCTTAAGCTGATGATACCAGGTTGGTCTCCTCCTTTTAGAGAGACCCAGTGAAGACTAAAATTAAATTTTTTTCCGGGGGTGGGGGAGGGCCCCCAAAATGGTACTTGGGGCTGACTCCTGACTGTGCTCAGGTCGGGTTCAGGAGACCCTATGCCAGGATTGAACCCAGGTTAGCCGCGTGCAAGGCCAAGCTGTTGCTCAGGACAGATTGGTTTTATTTCTTTTATTATTATTTTTTCTTTTTGGGTCACACCCAGTGATGCACAGGGGTGCTCTGGCTCTGCACTCAGGAATGACTCCTGGCCGTGCTCAGGGGACCATATGGGATGCTGGGGATTGAACCCAGGTCGGCCGCGTGCAAGGCAAATGCCCTGACCACTGTGCTATCCTAGTTTTATTTATTTATTCAGTAAAGGTCCATGTGAAGGGAACCAAGGGGATGGAGCTGAATGCTGTTTTTGTAGTGAATTAATTTGGCTATGGGGCCATACCCAGTGATGCACTGGGCTGACTCCTGGCTCGGTGCTCAGGGGCCCCGGATGGGCTGGCGGGGGATTAAACCCGGTTCCTTGCAAGGCCCGGGGCCCTCCCCACTGCCCTGTGGCTCGGAACCCCAAATGCTGTTTACTTGGTAACATGAATCTTTCTTCCCCTCCTACCTGGAGGAGGAGCACCCCAAACGCTCAGGGGTGACTCCTGACTTTGCACTCAGCAGTGACTCCTGGTGGTGCTCGGGATGCTGGGAATCGAACCCTGCTCCTCCCGGCTGGACTATCATTCCTGCCCCGCCCCGCCTCTGACCTGTCCCTCAGCCCTCTAGGTTTGTGCATCCAGGCAAGCCCAAGTGCCTCTCGGAGACCTCAGCTGCTTCCTGTTGAGGGGGGCGTGGAGCTGGGCGGGGGTCTGTGCCCGTTCCCGCCCACTCACGAGACTCACGGGGCGTCAGGCTGGCACCACCTGCCTGGCTCACTCTGCCCCTCCCCTGTTGACCCCGGCAGGGCCCTTCAGCACCCCCGCAGTCCCCAGGCTCACCACCTCGGCTCCTACAACGCTGGCGCCCTCGCGGACCCTCCCCCGGCCAGGTAAACCGCGCGCGCATCCCCGCATCCCTACATCCCTGCTTTCCGGCATCCCCGCTCCTCCTCCTGCCGGACAAAGGGGGAGGGCTCAGAGCCCCGCCAAGGGCCTCGTCCACCCTACCTGCATGGGGAGGGGGGGTCCAGAGGCAGAACAGCGTCCCACTGGCTTACAATTCCTGTGATTTGTTGGGGGGATGGGGCGAGGTGAGACCTGGAGGTGCTGGGGGGAGGGGGAACAGGGACTCGTCAGTGGTAGGGGTTGGCCACGTGTTGGGAAAAGTGCCTTAATAACTTCTGTCCTATCTCTGACCCTAAGGGGGGGGGGCCCACTTTTATTTATTTATTTATTTTTGCTTTTTTTGGGGGGGTCACACCCAGCCATGCTCAGGGGTTATTCCTGGCTCTGCACTCAGGAATCACTCCTGGCAGGTGCTCAGGGGACCCGATGGGGTGCAGGGGATTAAACCCGGGTTGGGCGTTTGCAAGGCAAACGTCCTCCCCGCTGGACTATCGCTCCAGTCCCGGGCCCAGTTTTAAACACCACGTTCCCATCCCTCAGTCTGATCGTGGCATGTTCAGATGGACCCTCTGTCTGCGTCACTGGTTAGAATCTCGTCTGATGCCCTTACATGCCTCATTAGCTTATTGACTCTCCACAGCAGCGTGGGATTTTCAAGGATTAAAAAGGAATTTTCAGTGAGAAGGCTGGGACTGGAGGGACAGTATAGTGGGGAGGGTGTTTGCCTTTGAACACAGCTGACCTAGGATCGATCCCTGGCATCTCATAGGGTCCCCCTCAAGCGCTACCAGGAGGTCAGGTTCAGCCCTGAAGTTAGTTTTATTTATTTCTTTTTAAATTTTTGCTCTTTTGGGTCACACCCGGCGATGCACAGGGGTTACTCCTGGCTCATGCACTCAGGAATTACTCCTGACGGTGCTCGGGGGACCATATGGGATGCTGGGAATCGAATCAAGGTTGACCGCATGCAAGGCAAATGCCTTACCCGCTATGCTATTGCTCCAGCCCTCCTGAGGTTAGTTTTAAATTTTTAATTTTCTTTTCCTTTTTGGGTTACACCAGGCGATGCTCAGGG